ACATTTCTAAAGAATGCTTTCAGCACCTTGTTGAATCAATGCCACGTAGAATTAAGGCAGTTCTGAAGGCGAAAGGGGGTCAAACACCATATTAGTATGGTGTTCCTAATAATCCTTTAGGTGAGTGTATATGAAAGTACATGCTGACATGTGCCTAATTGTTAAGCATGTTTTTAAACTCTGCAACTTCTCTAACATGGTTTCCCACTGCAAATGGAGAATGACCCAACCCCAAAAAATCATGAAATGATGCACTCGTAGATTTATGAAAGTAGGCATATCTGTTGAACTGAAAGACAAGAAGTTAATTAATATTTCCTAGTACAATTTTTCTCAGCCCTTTTTTCTCTCGTTTAGGAAATATCAGTGGCAATGGGTAGAGTGAGAAAAGGTAAAAGAGTAATAAGGAAAGATCTATGGAATGCAGCAGGTGGAGTGGATGCTGTGGTGCAAGAATTTTTGCAGTTTCCAGATCTTTCTGAAGGCATATGTTTCAGTTCTGAAAATTGGTCAGCAATGGCAGATAGATTATTTGGAGACAAGTCTGAAGCAAATAAAAAGTGGCTAAGGATAGCGTGGAGCTAAAACAGGAAGAAAGTAAAAGACAGAGTTCTTCAGCATCAGACACTGTTCTCAGGCGATGAAGAAATCAATGTCTCAAGCTTATTCAAATTTTCTGTTCCCTCACAAGATCAGTTCGTCCAAACTCCACAAGAAGATGATCCCACAGACGGCAAACAATGCAGTCTATTAAAAGATCACTCACCATTGAGTAATTATGAGGATTTTGTTTCCAATACACATTGGGAAGAAAGACCTAATGGAGACTTTGAGGAGCATGGAGTCTGTTCTATTTCTTCAGTTTCTGATGAAAAGCAGACAGTAAAAAAACACTGGAGGCAAACTGCACGTATTCCAAAAATATTTCATATCACAATCAAAAGACATTTGTGGAAAAAAATGGCACCCAAAAGTGGTTCGTCAGGTCTCAGAACACCATGGTGCCATCTCCTCTACAAAAAGTTTTCAGAGAAGAACCCAAATTGTACTCTGGCTTTTAAACGCCATCATGTAAAAAGTGAAAACACCAGAAAAAAGAAATGTCCATACTTGAGAATAACTGCTGTTTGTAAATTTTTGACATGTAGATGTAGATACATCTTTACATTGAAGGAAAAACCAACTTCAAACTGTAAGACAGTGCAGTTTCGGGTGTGTAGGTTTGGGAACATCAGACACCTCAGGAGTGAAAGTCATTTCAGGAGAGCAAGTAATGTCCGAAGGGGGAAAATTGCTCAAAGTATTCATAAAGGTGTGAGCAATGTGTATTACCATAGGCTACGCTCTACACCTACTCAGGAGTTGCTTGTTGGAAATATCAACAGAGTCTTGACCAAAAATGTCCTGAAGGTGATATCTTCTGAAGTTAAATCGTCCAGTCGGCTTCATGATAATATCATCCTAGAACTCCTTTTAACACAGAAGATCATAAAGGAGGGTGATACTGGGCATTGCCTGTTCCCTGGATATGTTCAGCACTTACAAGTTGATCCTTTTGGAGTGCATCTGTACACAGAAACTGGGATGGGAATACTTGTGAATCATTTACGGAAGAAAAAAAAACCTACCCTGCACCTTGACGCCACTGGCAGTATTGTGTCAAAGATTCCTGGTCAAAGCAAGAGAGTGTTGTATTATAGCCTCACTCTGCCTGGACATGGGTCAAATGTGCCACCACTGCCAGTTGCAGAGATGCTAACAAATGACCATTCTATACCAGCCATATCTTTTTGGCTGTCACAATTTGTGAGAACACTCACCAGCTGCACATCAGTTAAGGTCTCAAATGTTGAAACAGATTTCAGTTGGGCCTTAATTCAGGGAACACTGCTGGCATTTAACAAGGAAAATGTGGTATCCTACCTGGACCGTGCTTATGAAGTTCTTTTCAGAAAGAGGACAAGGAAAGAACTTCAGATGTTCACGGTACTTCATCTATGCTCTGCACATATTTTGAAGGCCTTTGCAGATAATATTTGTAAATGTACCGAGGACAAAGGTCTTAAGGAGTTTGCCATATACTGTTTTGCACGCCTTCAGAACTGTGTGAGTATGAGTGTGGCCACTGAAATATTCAAAAACATCTGTGTCGTCTTCAGCACGCAGTCTGAGACTCCACAAGTACACGACAGCATTCAACGTTTAAGTAAGCGCATCAAAGCCATTGATTTGCCAGAGGTGGAATTCCCTGTGAAAGATGCTATCATGTATGACACTGATCACAAACTGGAAAAATCCATTATCAGAAGGTCACCATTTATGACTTACTTCCGTGATGTGCTGAAGAATACCCAGATAGTTGGAAATGCTGATGAAAACATATATGGGTATTTATCCACTGTGGAGTGGAATTCTACTTGGAGATCTTGCAAGGTATGCCTCTGACAAGATGTGAAGATGTGCTCTCTATTGGCCTGAAAACAAGAGAGACCAATTGCCATGTGGTTTGGCATCGTAAAGAATAACATTCTTATGAAGAGAAGATCCCTAAGGCCGGCAGAATTTATAAGAATGATGTATGCATCACTGCAAGGACGCTATAGAGAGCATATAATGCAGTTGGCTCTCCCTGAACAGCTGTTCACAAGGCCAATTAAGAAAGCAGGCATTGACCTCTCCCAAGAAGAATGGGCAAAAAGGGAGACACGCATAAATAAAAAATCTAAATATTTCAGCATTCCTGATCAGCTTCCTGGCCCAAAGGCATGCAAGAAAGCCAAGCAAAAAGGAAAAAAAAACATACATCATTAAAGGAAGAGAAAAAAGAAGAAAAACCAGTGTTGAAAGAAGAGAAGAAAGAAGAAAAAAAAACAATGAAAGATGATAACTTGCAGGTCCAAGATGCTGGGCTACTGTGCTCTCTGCATCAAGAAATCACAGCTGATGAGGTAAGGCTACAGTATGTACATAGCAGCTAATAGTAGATGATGAAGGATGAAATCATAAACACTTAAAATGTACTCTTCTCGAACACAGGTGCATGAGCTATGGCAAAAAGAGCCATGTGAAGTAGTGGTCGCAGTAGTTCCATCAAAAGAGGGGACTGTACGTTATACATTGCGTCACAGAGAGTTCCTGACTTTGAAGCCCGACACTTGTATCATGGGAGAGGTCTGTTGGCTGAATGCAGAGGTCTGACCTCTTTTTAAACTCCTTTTTTAATTCTTAATCAGTTTTACATTTAAAATTTCTCTGTCCATAGGTGATAGAGGCCTACATTCAAGCTGTCTGCAACACAACAGGAGAAGGAAAAAGACTGTTCAACCTTAATCATTACACAACACAAATAATTTTGACCGGCAGCAGGGAGGAGGTTGCCAGATGTAGCGTGAAAAGAGTTACCATCAAACTTGAATTGTGAAAAAATATGTAACATATTTTCATTAAAATGTAAATTTTATAATTTTTATTCTTTTTCTGAACAGGTGCACTTTGATCAATACCACGGAGTTGTTGGGTTTTTCAATACAGGTGCACACTGGAAACTCATAGTAAGTTAAAATGCGACTTACCAAATTTACTAAAAATTGAAAACTATTATTGAAGATGTTAGCAACACTCCTTGTACCTATTAAAATATAAAAATTATACATCACAAGTACATTATGAAAAGAATTATGATTTGTAAATACCTTTGTATTTATAAGATTGAATAGCATCTTTATTTTTGTCCTACAGTGTCTGAATGCTATAAAAGAGATCATTTCTGTGCTGGACCCAAATGGACACTGTGAAACTGAGGATTCTGCAAGGGCAGCAAAGCGATTCAGGTAATCTCATTACTCTTACATGAATACTTGTGGTCAAAGTGTAATCCCACAAAAACAATTTATACCAAATATAATTATGTCTTACTAAAAAGGCAAATATAAATTATTTCCTACCAGGCTTTTTGAGGTAAAAGTTGGAAGACACATGCAGCACAACACTCATTATAATTTTAACATTTCATTATTTAATTTCTCAGAGGTCCAACAATTCTGTTTTTTGTATTAATTTGCATAATCCATAAAACAATGCTTTTAATGTAAGTTATGAAAGGGGTTAGGCCCAGACTAAACAGTTGATTCTTTCAAAATTTTTCTGTGAATTTGACTGATTTATGTACTGTGCTGCACTATTAATCAAATTGAAATGCTGCTTTACTACCATTTTTCCTTACTTTACTTTTTTACTAATCTAATGCTCTTCCCATTTTATTGCTTTTCCAATTTGCATTTATTGTATTTTGTCCTTTTTACGTGAAGCACTTTTAATTGATTAATGTTATGAAATGTGCAATACAACTAGACTTGCCTTGATTTGCTAATTAATTTTATTAATGACATACTAGTGAGTTAAAAAAATTAATTTCTCCTTATGTTAGTGAATTTTTCAAGATGAGGCGAATTCAGCATGGCTTGGAAGACTGGGTGGACATTAAATGGAAGCCCAGCACAATTGAACACACCAAGCAGACTGATGGTAGCAGCTGTGGAGTTTTTGTTATGAAGGTGTGTATTGGCTAAATCTCTGGTCCTATTACAGTACTTGTCTCCTTTGCCTTTCATTTGCTGCTGATTTTATGCAAAGAACATTTACAGTTTGGAGTTTCATATAGTCTATCCTCTTTTTTCCAGTGTTTATATTCTTTACATTTCACAATTCACTTGTAAGTAATGCTACATTAAAGCTTTTGCTGAACTATGGGGAATATGCATTATTTGTATGTACAGATGGCTGCAGAAATGGTGACAAGCTTTCCAGACCTGCCAGATGAAATCATAGTTCCACCCTCCAAACCTAACATCAGGGAGCTCCGGCTTCAGATGGCACAATTTCTTTTGAGCTCAACAGGTATTCAATTTTTTCATCATGTTGTGGGATTTTTTTTGTTTTTAAACCAGAATAAAACTGAAACCAAGGGCAGTAAAGGTTAATGTGTGTGTGATAAATTGAATATGTGTAATCATACTGCAAAATACAAATATATATTAACTATAATGCACAGAAAGATTAGTCTTGTTGGATAGGTCACAGTCTCTTCTATGGCCCAGCACTGGTTAAACAAAGTGTTTATAGATGCGTTTAAGTAGTCCTGACTATGCTGCTAGCTGAAAGTGATGTACTACAACCAGAGGTGGAAGTTTCAGGTCCAGAAAGTAAAAATATTTAGTTTCAGGATTTTGTTTCAACCAACCAGTTCAGTATAAAGAGTCACAGTCATACAGTACTGAACAGGTTGGTTGAAACAAAATCTTGGCCTGGATTTTTACTTTATGGAACTGAAACTTCCAGCTCCAAGTAGAACTTTTTTAGGGCAGGGAATATTGATGATGTGTAGTTTAACAGCAACTCAGCATAGTATAGTTGTCACACAACGGCCTGCAGGCGAGCAGGGAAGCAGCAGAGTAACCCGGGAATACTCAAAAGGGTTTTTATTCTGTGCTGACAACAAGGAAACGAGAAACAGCATGACACCACAATGACTGATCTGGGGAAGACTGACTGAGACACGGACTAAATACACAAGACAAGCTAAGGGTAACAAGCAACAGGTGAGAACAATCAGGCAGAAACAGGAGGTAACGAGGTGGGTGTGGCACACACGAGGATTGTACGGAGCTGGGCGTGACAATAGTGTGATACTTTTCCTATGTATGTTGAAAAAGGCCTCCTACCATCCTGCTCTTGTGATCAATTCTAGAGAAGAATAGGCCAATTCACACTCTTGGTGGTGCCGTGGATTAGCCTTTTAGGCATGTGCAGACCATACTGGAACCCACTGACTGAATTGCCCTCTTCTTGAGGAGTGTTACGTAGTGTGTCCTTCTTCCTATGGCTACTTTGGATCACCATACATCTTCTCAAGTTTATGTAGGTTATATATTGCCTTTATGCACAGTATGCTTGCTTCTGTTTCTGGAAAATCCTTAGGTTAGTCCTATGTAGCCCATGATTTAGTTGTACATGTTTTAAACTCTCGTGTCTCATCTCTGGCATGGGGGAACTATAACACTGATGCTGGTTGCATGTGTAGAAGTGCACCTATGAAGATTATAAAAATGAAAGAGAACATTGAATGTTTCTGATGTCTTATGATTGTATTAACATTGTTCTCATTGATTCAGTTCCAATGAGAGACCTATGTTCGTTCTGTGGAATGGAATCCTCATCTGCTGACAACAGCAGTGTAAATAACCCTCAGTTATTTGAATTAAGTAACAAGAATAATATTCTGATACAATTTAAGTTTGCATTTCTTGATATTAGTTGTGTTTATTAATATTCAGATCATTTAAGTTATTTAACCGATAGAGACCTTTATTTTGGAAAGCGGCTTGGCGGAAATGCAGGGAGATCGCAAAACCGGAAAAGGAGAACGCGCGCACCGACGGAGACTGATCACGGAATCGAACGATTAAGGACCTTTTGAGTTGATTTATACATACAGTCGCAGCTTATTGTTTTATTCTTCGGTATTTGTTTTGACTTCGTTGTTTGACACCTGGTTGAAATGGAGAACAAGGTCAGGAACGTTTATGCACATATGTGGCATATATCTGTAATGTATACTCTCTATGACGGTTTGTGTTTGTTTATTCACGAGTAATTTTATGTTTGTGACAGATGTTAGCATTAATTAGTATTTTGTTGAAGTAAGATTGATTGTTTCATTTATATGGATGTAAATTCATTGCAAATCCCAATTTATTTATGTGTCTCTTGTTCTAGCTCTTACGTTGTTGTGCAGTCAATACAGACAATAAAACCCAAGGAAGACAGTACAACATCAGTGCATGAGTTAAATCCTTTTTATCTTCAACCGGGCCATCACAGTAAGAGCTTGCCCACTGATCCCACTTGCTGATGCAAATGATGACGGACCAAGGATTAAATTTGTGCAATTCTGTGGAGGAAGGTGGAATATCAAAGGTAGCCCAAAACAAAACCACAGTTAATGAGATAGAAGGTCAATCTGAAGTTGTAAACACGGATGAAGTACGTCGCTCCGTCCGTGAACGAATTCCAACAGAAAAGATGCTTGCATATCAAAGAGAAGAGGCAGAAAGGGCAGAGAGAAAGCTTATGTATGCATATGAAAGATGGAAGGCTGAGGCTCGTAAAGCAAGAGGGCAGCTGAAAACAGACATTCCTGAGGGTCAGCTAATATCGCTTGTAGACACGTTGGAATACGAAAGAGACAATGTGATGAATGCATACGTAAAGGTTCGCAGTTATGTTACTCCACCCATCGATACAAGAAGAAGAATTGACGCTTGCGTTGCTGTCACAAAGGATATTGTAAGGATTGCTTATCAGAGGATCCCAGGTGTCGATGGAAACTTTGACAGTGGGGAAGTAAGAAAACGCCTTCGTGAACTGCTTGATCGAGATTATGCTCGTTCTGTTTATGGTTTTACAGTTTCACGTATTAGCTCCAAGTCAAGCACACCTACAAGTCAACTTTCACTGAACTCCCTCCTGATGGCTAAACGAATAGAGGCAGCAGCAGAGCTTGC